AGGGCAGAGTAGAACTACCCTTTAGGGTTTCCAAGGCTATAAATCTTTATATAAGCAAACTGCCTCATCTTGCTCCTGTGGAGTGGCTGGTGGGTTTGAACCACTGATCTTTTGGTTAATGAATGCTTTAACCACTGTGTCACCAGAGCTCCTTCCAGACTATATACCTTCTCAAAAATCTGTGATGGCCTTCATTCCCTATTCACTGTCTTTTTCTTCCTGTTTGTATCTCCTTCTTCATTGTGCTATTTCTCTCTCTAGATTCTAAATTCAAAAGGGAGGCTAAACCTTTCGATACACTAAGAGAAAGTCAGATACAAATGCAAAGAGAAAACCTAAAGTATGATAACCACAAGTGAGACAATCATACTATTTTTAATTATAGCACTGCCTGAAGAGATTTAGCACTGTAGGTATAGGTATGTGTAAACTGTAGTCAAACTATATACAAACAGATTTTGCAACTCTCAAATGTTGTTACCAGAATAAACAATTTCATAACTTCACTAAACCCTTGACTCTAATGCTCTGAATTTATTATGCTGCATGGCATTTAAAAAGATAACTGTGGGATAATGATTTTTATACTTAAAGATTTTAAAGACTGGTTAAGAAAAAGAGGGAAAAAATATACATGGAGCTTTTGTGGCACAGTGCCTAAGGCATTTGACTGCTAACCAGGAGGTTGATGGTTCAAACTCACCAGCCGCCCCATGGAAGGAAGACGGGGCAATATACTTCTGTAAAGATTTACTGCCTTGCAACAAAATACATAAAAGCGTTGCTCCACATCCCACATTGGTGAGTAGCGACTGGGGCCTTAAAAGCTTTCAAGCAGCCATCTAAGATGCAGCTAATGGTCTCCTAGTGTTGGAAGTGAAGAAGAACACAAAACAAAACAAACAAACAAAAAAAGACATTTAGAAGCAATCAGCCCTAGGACACGATGGCCCTTGAGACCACAAGAACTGGATGGTGCCCAGCTACCAATGCCAACCACTCAGGAAAGGATCAGATCTGGAGATCCTGGATAGAGTGGGAGGGAAAACGTGGAACAAAATCCAAAAACTCAATAATGACCAGAATTACTGGTCAGATGAAATCTGGTAAGACTCCCAATACTATGGCCCTGAAATACATTTGGCACCTGGAATAAAACTCACCTTCAGGGGCGGGCTTTCAGCCCAATAGTTAACAAGATGTACACACAGACCACTCAACCCAGGATGCCACACCCACACACTCAATGGTAATACATCCATTAGAGCAATAGACCATGGGACACCAGAGGACCAACATTCAAACTGAGGAAATGTAGGTCAAACAGGAGTGCATAGATATGAGGGGCACAGGGGAAGGGTTGCAGGATGGGGAGGGGAGGAGACTGGGTTAGAGTTGGACATGGCGAATGGGGAATGAAACTAAATGTACACATGACGTTGAATGTAAAACAAGCTCTTAAAATATAAATATAAATAAATAAGGAAAAAAAAAGATTTACTGCCTTGGAAATCCAATGGGGGTCGCTATGAGTTGGAATTGACTTGATGGCAGTGAGTTCAGTTCATTCATACACACACACACACACACACATATACCCACCGCTATATGCTTAGTGGTGTAGTGGTTAAGGTATTTGGCTGCTAACCAAAAAGTCAGTGGTTTGAACCCACTAGCCACTCTGTGGAAGAAAGATGAACCAATCTGCTTCTGTAAAGATGTACAGCCTTGGAAATCCAATGGGGGTTGCTGTGAGTCAGATTCAACTCAATGGCAGTGAGTTTGGTTTTTTGAGTTGTGTGTGTGTGTGTGTGTGTGTGTGTATTAAGGCAATGGGAAAGGTGTTTAGATATAATTGAAATGGAAAGAAGAGAATTGGTCATATTGTACATAAAGGTTGGTCAAGAATATTGACAATGGTCTGATGGGTTAGAATGTACCCATTGGAAGAGTACCTAGACGAGTTTGGCATTAAAGCATGACTTTTCTCAGCTTACACAGAGTGGACAGGCAAAATCATGTGGGAATTACATATTAATTGCACAGAGAAAGTTATATAGAGAGAAGTATTCTTGCTACAAATGAATATGAGAATCTTCTGATATAAAAGCTTGAGTGGGTTCTGTGATCTTCTATATGGGCTTTCATGGATAAATGGATATGCCTAGTATACATACCTGAAATTTCTAGACTCATTTGGAGTGCTCCATACACCTCTAGAAATACTGTAATTATTGGGAAAGTTTTGTTGTATACACATCTATGATTTCATTATTCTATACATTTGTCTTCTTGCTCCAGCATCCAATTTCATTGGGCTGCTAGGTGTTCATAAACTTACCTTCTTTAAACACCCATGCACAAATACTATGAATGGTGAGAACCTGGCTCAGAAGATGTAATAGAAGGTGATATTGTATCTAAGGATGAGTTGGTTCTCTGTAAGCAACTAAATGTGACATCCAGGTGTAAGGGTATAAGCATATGTTTGAGTCATTGGGTGGAGGTATGTTTGGCTATGTGCCTATAGTTGAGTGTGGCCCATCATGAACAGTTCTAAGTGGGTATACATGTATGTATGTACTTAAAATTACTTCCTTCAGTATGTTTTGGGAGCTCTAGTGGCACAGTTGTTAAATTACTCAGCTGCCAACTGAAAGTAATTTGAATCCACCAGCCCCTCTGAGACAAAAAGATGTGGCAAAATCTAAAGATTTACAGCCTTGGAAACCCTATGGGGCAGTTCTTTTCTGTCCTATAGGGTCATTATGAGTCAGAATCGACAAGATAGCAGTGGGTTTACTTTGGTCAGTATGTTTTAGTGGGTGTGTAATTTGGTTTCTGGGCAGAGCTCACAAGTCTGAGCTAGCTGCTGACTGACCCTTTCTTCCACTTGAACTATGGTGACAGATTATGGTCATAGAACCTATTCCCCAGAAAGCCAAACTTGCTAAACTGGCTTCTCCCTGAGTGAAAATAATTATATCTGATAATACACTGAAAGGAAGAGGAAAGAAGAATGAGAATGGTGGAAAAAAATTTCCAAATAGCTTCTGAATTCTCCTTGATGAGCTAATGTTTTATTTTCAAGACTTCCTGTTTCAACCTCTCATAGCTCCCTGTTCCTCGCCTAATTGCTAGTGTCTTTCCTCCCAAGCTTGTGATCTTTCTATTCTTACATGTAATTGTGTATATGTTCTCAACTACTTTTTTCCTTGCCTTCTTGGCTTGCAAACTAGAAGAAGTGGACTTTGCTGTCTAACTATTCATTGGCTTAATCCTTTTCTATGTACAAAGCTACAGATAAGAATTTCCCTCTCTTCACAATTTTCCTTCTCTAGGCTGCTACTGTTTTCTTGGGCTTCTGCCAATCAACCACACACTAGTCTCTGCTCTGAACTGTAAGGGAATTATTTCTTTAACTATCACCTATAGTGCCTAAGGCATTTGACTGCTAACCAGAAGGCTGGTGGTTCAAACCCACCAACCACTCCTTGGAAGGAAGACTGGTATCTCTACTTCTGTAGAGATATCGCCTCAGAAACCCAAGGAGTGGTTGCTATGAGTTGAGTTGACTTGATGGCCTTGAGGGTTTTATTATTATTATTATTTTTTATCACCCATATGTGCAAGATCATGAAGCTCTAGAAAGAGAGGAAAAAGGGATGAGGCTAGAGTCTCAGGTTTTCTTTACCTGTTTCAGGCACTGATGGAATCTGCCTCAAAAAGTAATATTGTGGCTTTTAGTGTCAATAATTATTGATTGCTAGTATCAATAATTAATGTTACAACACAATATAATATCATATAAGCCACAACATTAATATTTTATTTTACCTTTATATCAAATCATATGAAACTGATTCACAGATGTAGGAATACTCAAACAGCAGAAAATCACCGTATTTTCTTTCAGGTCAATCGTATGAAAGAAGTAAGCTTTGCTGATAATAGAACCAGAGGGAGTTTAGTCAATTAAGGGTAAAATATTGAGTTTGCAGACATATGGAAGAGAGATAACCAACAGTTCTCTTGAGAAGGAAAGAACCAGGTTTATATAGGTGACATTTCAAATATTTTGCTGATTATATGGACTTAAAGTTTATGCACATAAAGAATCCCTGGCTAGGTACATAAGAGACTGGTAATTACAGTCTGCTTGGAGGAAAGTTGGGAACTATGTAGATAGAGAAGGATATGGTGGGAGAAAGATTTTTATAGTACACCAATTAATGTTTTTCTTTTGGAATCATATGAATATGTTTTCTTTTTATTTAAACAAAGACTGGTTCTGACACCACCCAGAATGTGTCTGTGTCTGGTTTGCAGGGGAAACTCCTTGAACTCTGAGAACTACAGAATTATTATTATTATAAATTCTGCTTGTTCATTGGTTGTGAAGGTATAGAGGGGAGATGTATCACAGGAGGAATATAAAGGCATACCTCATCTTTCTTGAAATCTGCCAAGTATTTACACATTGTCTGAATTAACTTTGTATAAAAATGAAAATTAAATATTTTGTTTAGCAAACAAGTGATGCAAGCTCAAGAAAATTAGACATGCTTAGGGACTATAGTGAAAGTAAAGCTTGCCAATATAAACTATGGGACCACACTTGCTCAGACAGTAGAAAAATACATACTTCATTATGGGAGCAGGAGTCCTGTATGTGTGTGTCAGGGGGGCAGGGTGGATATTGGCTTTACAGTAATATATTTTAACAATGAAATGAAAGGAAAAGATCACAAAACAAAAACATTCTCCCAGCTTAAACATTTTGTTGGTGTGGAGAAATGAAGGAATGGTTCAGAGAGTTCCAAGTAGCAATGTGCTTAATGATTAGTCCGTAGAGTCACTTAAAAATGCTGTGTGTATCCTACTTTAATTTTGCCAGAATCACTCAATCCTTGGGAATTACTTGAAGCTATGCCCTGTACATTCTTTGTGGGTATAGCACAGAAGTAGGCAGCCTTGTGGCAATGGGAGATGAGGAGAGGATGACACGGAGGCTTTTGGAATGCAGTTTCAATGACAAGTTGTGTGGTAAGTACAGATACTGCAAATGTCTGTCCTATGAATTTAAGAGTATATAGACTAGACTCTTTGATAGGTTCTGGAAAGAGTATTATTTGATTTGTCATAGAAATTAAGATAGAAGTGATAGAGGAATGGTGTCTAGAGGCCATTGTCTTTGAAGGGGAGGGGCAAGTGACAAACAGAGATCTATCTCAGTAGGTAGCTGCATCTTCTATCTCAGTAGGATAAATTACAGTGAGGTAGAGGGCACACATAATGAACTAGGAAACAGGGACATTATAGAGTTGCTCCTAATAGTGGTTCCATTGAATGGAAGTAGCAGGGAAGCAGAGTAGGTACATGATATACACATCAGGTCAGGCTTCTTTTGAACACTCTTTTCTTCTTCTTCTTCTTTTTTTTTTTTTAATTTTTATTGCGATTTGGGTGAAGGTTTACAGAGCAAATTCATTTTCCATACAGCAGTTCATACACATTTTGTTTCATGACATTGACTGCAATTCCCCACAATTTAACAGCTCTCTTACCACTTCCTCCCTGTAGTTATTTCTTTCCTGTGTCTTTTTTCCTGTGCATTCCTGCCCCCTAAGCTATCTTCCTATGCAAATACTGATCTTCTGTTCTCTCATGATTGATCATTATAAGGAGTGTATCTTCCTGAAGTAAATATTCACCCTATATGCCTATTTTTTTGGCTGGATGCCATGGGAGTGGGTTCAATTAGAGACCTGAAGGGTAACTAGGGGCCACTGTCTTGGAGGTCTCACCAGGCTCTATCAGATCAGCAAACCTGGTCTTTTTTTTTTTTATGATTTTGAGTTTTGTTCCACATTGTTCTCCCACTCTATCCACTTGGAAAAGGATCATGAATCATGCACTGATCCCTTTCTAAGTGGTTGACAATGGTGGCTGGGCACCACCTAGTTCTTCTGGTCTCATGGTTATATAGGCTGAGGTTCGCATGGTCCACTAGTCCCTTGGACTAATTGTTTTCATGCATCTATTGTTTTCTTCATTCTTTGCTCTGGATGCATTGTTGCATCTAGATGGCCACTTGCAAGCTTTTAAAATCCCAGTCACTACTCACCAAAGTAGGATGTAGAACAATGTTTTGTGTAGTATGTTATGCCAGTTGAGCTTGACGTCACCAGCGACCATGGTCCTGAGCCCACAGGTGCAACTACTCACTCCCTCAGGGTGATTGGCTGTGGATAATCTTCCCTTCTTTCTTGATTGCCTACCTAGTTGTCCGGGAGCAGCAGTATGAGGTTATCATCATCCCAACCCTCCTGGTTGGTATCTTCCTCATCCTTCTTGGGGTCATCTTGTGGCTTTTTATCAGAGGACAAAGAGTCCAACAGCAGACTTCTGGACACCAAGGTAAAGTTCCATGTTTGGGGCTGGACAGGAGCACAGGCCCCTGTACCAGCTTCCTTGCTCTTCCTCACATATCCTAAGTATATCTCTCCTTTCTCAATGTGTTTATACTTCTTTCTGCATATCAGAGTGCCTTTCCTGACCTTCAAGTATAAAATAGCATCACTGGCACTCCTTAATATCCTTACCTATCCTGTGTTACTTTTCTTCATAACACTGATTGCCATATATATTATTATATGCTTCCTCTCCCCTACCACTAGAAAGTAATCTTCATGAGAATCTGGACTTCGCTTGTTCCCACTACCTAGAATAGTGCCTGGGATGTATTAGGTAATATTTATTAAATATATTGATGAGTGAATGGGGATTTAATAGCAAGAAAGAACTTCTATTTCATGACTGAAGAAAAAAAAGTCCATTATGACTAAAAAGGGAGAAAGTACCAGAAGATTTTGTTGATCATGACCCTTGGAAATACAGTTTGGCTTTTGGGACAATTTGAGGGAACAAGATTAGCCATGGCTTAGATTTGACTAACTATCCATAACTCCCTCCATACTTATAAGCCATTTAACTGATTTAAATGATAGTATCATCAGCAGTTACCACCATTAGGTACCTGTGGTATGGGTACCCATTTAGGAATTTCCTTAAATGTCTCTATACTATACTTTCAGGGAATATAGACCAGTAATCCCAAGGAAGACTGAAAGAAAATGTCATTACCACTTTCCAGGGGCCCATCTTGTATTGTTCTAAAAATAATGGAGTTTTACAAGGTTAGTATTGATATTGGTTATAGAGACACATGGAAAGACATCTCCATGTTGGCCAGAGAGGAAACTGCTGAAGGAACTTCCTTGGCATGTTATTCCAGGCTCTGCTTTCCTGGGGTTCCAAGGAAAGGAAGAAAGCTGGTTGGTATCATCTCTTTGTTCTAGGTATTAGCTCCAAGCCTGGGGACCTCAGCTGGAAAGCATCAGGATTTGGAGAAAATGTGTCTGTGCAACTTGAGACATCAATAGAAAGCCTTCTACAAGCCACCACACCTGCCTTATCTAAGCTGCAGGTGCCCCGGGAGCAGCTCTCTGAAGTTCTGGAGCATATCCACAATGGTAGTTGTGGAGCCATCTATAGAACCAAGATGAACACTGGGGACCCTGCTAAGTCCAAGAGTGTTGTACTCAAGGCTTTAAAAGGTAAAATGAGAAGAGCTAGACTTCCCTTCTCTTTTTCACTTTTCAACACTGAGCCTCTATCAGTGAATGCTAACAGGCTTTGTAAACATTAAGATGTTTATCAACAGATAGGTGTTATCATAATTACATAGTACAGAAGGGAATAGAGGGATGGATGCTTGAGGCAGAAATGCCCTTTTTAGGCTCTCTTCCCTTAGCTCATCCTTGCATGTTATTTTTCTCCATAATACTCATCCTCTAATGTATGTATATCTGTTTCCTCTCCCCAACAAGTAGAAAGTAATAATGAAAATATGGACTTGGACATTTTTTTAATGCCTAGAACAGTGTCTGGCATAAAGTAGGTGATACATGTTGTTAGAACTGAGTTCTCCATAGTGAATGTTACTTGGACTATGATTCTGAGGTTATTTATGTCCTTCACTATTTAATATCTTTCCCTAATACTGTATTTCTTATATTTTGCTGATTCTCATTAAACGTGTCAGTAATACTCTTACTGCCATAGAGTTGATTCCAACTCATAGTGACCCCCATTGTGTTTCCAAGGCTGTAAATCTTTATGAAAACAGATTGCCCCATCTTTCTTCCACAGAGAAGCTGGTGGGTTCGAACCTCCAACGTTTGGGTTAGCAGCCAAATGTCTTAACCACTACACAAAAACCAGAGCTCCTTGTGTCAGTAATAGTGGACATGTAAAAAAGAAAAAGGCTAAGAGTAAACAAGAACACTAATCCGAAGGCCAAAACAGTGATAATATTTTAATGTCAACATAACACTTCTCCACTTAGGCACATAAAGTTCTATTCATTCTAAGATCTATAATTCTGTGCTATCTTTGACAAAGGATCAGTGACATTTAGGATATCATCTTCTTAAAACTGATCTCTTTTCTACTAACTCTTTTGTCCACACACAGCCCCTTGTGAAGCCTTGAGAATTACCATCTGAGATTGCTTCCTGCTCTATTGTTGTTGTTAGGTGCTGTCAAATTGGCTCTGATTCGCAGTGACCCTATGGACAGCAGAACAAAACACTGCCCAGTCCTGCGCCATCCTCACATTCCTTGTTATGTTTGAGCCTGTCATTGCAGCCACTGGTCAATCCATCTCGTTGAGGGTCTTCTCCTCTTTCTCTGACCCTCTACTTAACTAAGCATGATGTCCTTCCCCAGAGAATTGTCCTGCTCTGTGCCTCCCTCTTATTGGTAATGTTCTGACTGTTCACTGCCCCTGGATCTCCTGTCCTCCACAGAACCAGCTGGGCTCCATGAAGTACAGGATTTCTTAGGGCGAATCCAATTCTATCAGTACCTGGGGAAGCACAAGAACCTGGTACAGCTGGAAGGCTGCTGCACGGAAGGGCTGCCACTCTACATGGTGTTGGAAGACGTGGCCCAGGGGGACCTGCTCAGCTTTCTCTGGACCTGTCGCCGGGTGAGCAGTAGGGTAGAGATGTTAAAAGGAAAAGGCTTGACTTAGCTGATTAGCTGTTGACATGTCCATTAACCTGGCAAATGACAAAATATAGAGACATTATTAGCATAACAGTAACTCTGAGGCGCACTGTCCAATATAACTTCTGGGATAATAGAAATGAACAAATTCATCTCTAATCTCTTCTTGTTATTCCTAAACCCTCTAAGGGCTCTGTTTCCTATAAAGTTCATATAAAACTAAAGGGGCACTTAAAAACCCTGAAGCCATATTATTCCAAGTTGAATAAGTTGAAGTAATCCATTCCACTGAATGGTGCTTTATGAAGTTGGTGTTCTTGTTAGGTGCCAACGAGTCAATTCTGGCTCACGGTGACCCTATGTGCAACAGAATGAAAGATGGCCTTGTCCTGTGCCATTCTCACAATGCTTGCTATGCTTTAGCCTATTGCCGCAGCTACTGTGTCATCGCATCTCATTGAGGGTCTTCCCCTTTTTCTCTGACCCTCCACTGTACCAAGCATGATATCCTTCTCCAGGGACTGGTCTCTTCTGACCACATGGCCAAAGTAAGTGAGATGAACTCTGGCCATTCTCATTTCTAAGGAGAATTCTGGCTGTACTTCTTACAAGATAAATTTGTTCATTCTTCTGGCAGTCCATGGTATTTTCCATATTCTTCACCAACACCACAATTCAAAGGCATCAATTCTTCTTCAGTCTTCCTTAATCATTGTCCAGCTTTTACGTGCATATGAAGTGATTGAAAATACCATGGCTTGGATCAGGCACACCTTAGTCTTCAAAGTGACACCTCTGCTCTTCAACACTTTAAAGAGATCTTTTGTAGCAGATTTGCTCAGTGCAATGTGAGATCTGATTTCTTGACTACTGCTTCCATGAGTGTTGATTGTGGATCCAAGTAAAATGAAATCTTTGACAACTTCACTCTTTTCTCCATTTATCATGATGTTGTGAGGATTTTTGTTTTCTTTATGTTGAGGTGTAATTCTGGTTGACGACTGTAGCCTTTGATCTTCAGCTTCAAGTCATCTTCATTTTCAGCAAGCAAGGTTGTGTCATCTGCATTTCACAGGTTATTAATGATTCTTCCTTCCATTCTAATCCCATGTTCTTCTTCATATAGTCCAGGCTCTCAGATTATTTGCTCAGGATAAAGATTGAATAAGTATGTGATACAGGCCCTTCCTGATTTTAAACCATGCAGTATCCTTTTGTTCGGTTACAAGGACAGCCTCTTGATCTATGTACAGGTTCCTCATGAGTACAATTTAGTGTGCCGGAATTCCCATTCTTTGCAGTGTTATCCATAATTTTTTATCATCCACACAAGTGCCTTTGCATAGTCAATAAAATACAGGTAAACATCTTGCTGTGTTTAGGAGATTACTGTGGATGAAAACAAAGCTCCCAAAGCTCACTGTTTCCAGCTTAGTTGATGTCTCTGATCTTTTTTCTTAGATCTTGGGCTTTCTGGGTGCAGAGACCAACTGAGTCACAGTGCTGCACTCCCAGAGGTACCAGTTGCTGGTGCCTCCTGGAAGTACCATCTGGCCTCTGAGAGATGGTGCATGGACCCTGTAGGCTCCATGCCAGCCCTGCTCCTGTGCACTCCCCTCCGGCAACACTCATCTTTTTTTTTTTTTTCCCTTCAAATTTTCTTTGATGGCTATTATCCCAGAAGGATGTCGCCACATGTGGTAGCCACTAGCCACATGTGGCTATTTGACCACTTGAAATATGGCTAGTGTACCTGAGAAACTGAATTTTAAACTTTACTTAATTTTAAATAATCTAAGTTTAAATAGCCATATGGCTAGTGGCTACTGTATTGGGCAGCACAGGTTTATAGCACAGGTCTTTCAGCTCCGTCTACTAGTTCAGTGACTTTGGCTAGTCAGTTCTCTGAGCATGAGTTTTCTGAATCTGTATAATAATAATAATAATAATGTCAATAAAAATTAAAAGAAATTAGATATGTAAAAAGATAGTTGTTATTGGTACATAATAAGAACTCATGAAATGGTAGCTGCTATAATAATATAATAGTATAACTGTTGTTAATAATGACAGTAATTTTGTTGTTGTTATTGTTAGTGTGTACTCCTGTCTGTGACATAATCCTAGTATGCAGGGCTGATTCAACTTGTAAGTTTTTGTACCTCAAACAGATATTTTTAAAAATTAAAATGTAAAGAAATTTTCAGGCTCAAGTGCAAGTCCTTTCCCTGATAGTCTCCCTAGTTCTCTATATATTCCTCTTTCTGAAGTGATACCTGTTTTCCTAGTGAGCTTCTCACTTGCTCATTGGCCAGTTTATTATTAATTAAGCCTCAAAACATGCTGATCATTGCACTACTGAATATGCATGAAAACAGGGCCCTGTTAATATCTTCGATCCAGTGATGTAATAGGAGAGTGTGCAGGTCTTTAGTCATTTTAAACATTTTCAAGAGGTTATTTATCTATAAGTTAGTCCATGCTCCAAATACACTAGCTTCTTCATTTTCTCAAAACTACCACATTTATCTATTTCAGGTTATTTTCAAAAGCTCTTCCCCTTAGGCCAAACTTCTCTCCCTTTCCTTCTTTGCATAGTTAGTACCTACTCATCCTTCAGATCTCAACAAAACCTTTCTGTTTCTCCAAACTGAAAAAGCCCTCTCTCCCACAATCACAGGCTCTCTTATTACTCTTACATGTACCTTCATGCCACTGTATATTTATGTATGATTATTTGATTCAGATTCACACCTGTGACACAGTATAAGCTCCAGAAGGAAGCAGCCATGTTTATTTTGCTCACTCTTATACTTCCAGCTCCTTATATGGAACTGGCATAGGCATTCAACAAAGACATTTTGTTAAGACATGTGCTACTTCTCTCTCTCTCTCTGTGTCAGACACACACACACGCATGCACATGAAAAAATTGCTGCTTTATCAAGTGCATAGTCTTACATATACTTGTCTTTCTTACCTATTACTGTGTTCTTCTCTCATTTTGTTATTCATCCACATTCTTTATAGATTTTCCAGTCCAATGAATGATTATATTTTCCATATCTGACATGGTCTCACTACACTTTAGTTCCTATATTTTTACATTCTTTCTTTCTTTTTTTTAAAAAAAAATTTTATTGTGATTTGGGTGAAAGTTTACAGAGAAAATTCATTTTCCATACAGCATTTCATACATATTTTGTTTCATGACATTGACTACAATTTCCCACAGTGTAACAGCTCTCTTCCCACTTACATTCTTTTCTTTGTTTTTAAATCTGCATTTCAAAGTATCTCTATCTTTGTTTATTTTTTGAAAACTTCTGTTAATGTCACTTTGATATAATGCTTTTTTCCTCTGTCTCTTTAGGATGTGGTGACCATGAATGGCCTTCTCTATGATCTTACAGAAAAACAAGTATATCACATTGGGAAGCAAGTTCTTCTGGCTCTGGTAAAGCTGGGGAAAATGGCAATAAATGGTGGGGAATTTTCTTGATAGCCTGTCATACAATGCCATATTTCCCATATTTGTATCCTCAAATGCAGAAGTTTGTATAAAGAAAATTAAAAAGAAGTTAGCAGCCAGAAACTCAAGAACTGATAAACAGTTTTTAGCCCCCCCCCCCCTTTTTTTTTTTATGAATTCATTCAAATAATGTGCATCGTTAATATTTCCAAGCAGAAAGTCAACATGGAGTTTTTAGAGGAAACAGTAAAAGTTTTAAAAGTTTTTAAGAGTCTTGAAGTTCAAAAACCAGTGTTGAGAGCTATATGTTCATGTACCTGCCACCCATGTTGCTAATATAAATTGATGTAAAAGGGCAAATAGGGAAGGAGGTTGGGCCAAGATATGGGAAGAGAAACTGAATGGATGAAAGGCTACAGAAACAGAAGGAAGCATATAATTTTATATCTGAAAAAACAAGAAAAACTAGTTCAGAGTGTGTTTGTTTGGAGACTTGTTTTGATATTGAATATGATAAGAAATACATATACTTTAAAAAAAGAAGACCAATAAGCAGCATCACAGTAGATGGAGAAAAGATTGAAGTTGTCTAAGACTTCATATTACTTGGTTCTACAATCAACACCAAAGGAGCTCTGGTAGCGTAGTGCCTTAGGCACTTGACTGCTAACCAGAAGGCTGGAGGTTCAAACCCACCAGCCACTCCTCAGAAGGAAGGTTGGGCAATCTACTTCTGTAGTGATACTGCCTCGGAAACCCAAGGAAGGGTCGCTATGAGTCGGGTCCGACTCAACAGCACATAACACCACTACCAACAACAACAATCAACACCAATGGAAGCAGCAGTCAAGACATCAAAAGATGTGTTGCACTGGGCAAATCTGCTGCAAAAGACCTCTTTCAAGCACTGAAGAGTAAAGATATCTCTTCAAAGACTAGGATGTACCTAACCCAAGCCATGGTATTTTCAGTCCTTTGTATGTATGTGGAGCTGGACAATGAATAAGGAAGACCAAAGAAGTGTTAATGCTTTTGAGTTGTGGTGTTGGAGAAGAATGCTGAAAGTACCACGGACTGCAGAAAGGACTAACAAATCTGTCCTGGAAGAGGTGCAGTCAGAATGCTCCTTGGAAGCGATAATGGCCAGACTTTGTCTCACCTACTTTGGTCATGTTGTCAGAAGGAACCATTCTTTGAAGAAGGATGTCTTGCTTGGTAAAGTGGAGGGTCAACAAAAGAGGAGAAGGCCATCAATGAGATGGACAGACACAGTGGCTGCAGTGATGGGCTCAGGTATTGTAGGGATAGTGAGACTGGCACAGGACTGGACAGTGTTTTGTTCTGTTGTACATAAGGTTGCTATGAGTCAGAGATGACTTGACGGCACATAACAGCAACAACTAAAGAAGCAGCAACAAGTTGGAGGGGAGGAATGAGAAGGATTTTTATTTTAAACTTAAACAAACAGGTAAGAGAAAGAACTCGGGGTTTTAAGGGGGGACCGGAGAACCTTTACCAGAAGTATTTAGGAAATTCAGATGACTATTTCTATGCAATTATTTAGATATTTGTTTTGAAAATCAGCATTTTCTATAGACAATCAGGCCTCTATGAAGCTACTACTTTAGGTTTGTGATATACCTGCCAACTTCAGGTGTGAAATATACCAAGAATCTAAATGGAATTAGGAAAAGATCAGGCAAAAAAAAAAGAGGTAAGGAAGTGAGAAAAGAATAGTAGTTTTAGCTGATGCTTCTATGGGGCATGGGAGGGAGCGCATCATATAAATGAATATTCTTTTTTTTTTTTTTTTTAATTGTG